CCAGCACCCTGGAAACTCTCGTTGCGTCCCTTTCTAGCTACTGACCTTCTCCAAGAGTCACCAATTCTCCACCTTCTAACACCTGTCTTTGAACACTTTTAAGATTAATTGTGCCTCCACGAATTTTCAGAGCACACAAAGATGTGTGTACCAAGATATTCACTGACCTCTTCATTTATGATAGCAAATGACTGAAAATAACCAAAATGCCCATCAACTGGGGACTCAGTAAATTTATTATGCCTCTTACAATAAATTCTATGCAACCATTAAAAGTAACGTTCCATATATAAATATGCTGACACAGAAAGATGTCCAAGATAAATAAAGCGGAAAGTCAAGTTTTATATCTATCTATCTATCTATCTGTATCTCATTCACATAAGAGGAAAACAGTCTGTGTTTATGTGCTACTTGTGTGTTTGTAAATGCAGAGCGAATGGTCTGGAAGTTTATATGCCAACTATTCAGAATTAGAAGAAGGGATGGGATAGGAAGGAAAGGGACTTTCACTTTGAAAAAAAACCCAAAAACACCTGGATACTGAGTTTTTGCAAGAAGCATGCATTCCTTTTGCGTGCCACTTTTAACTGCAACTTAAACATTTAAGAAAAATTGTGGTGCCTGGAATTTGCCTCTGGGGTTAAAGTATCTGAATTCAAGATTGTGTTCACTTATTAGTGAGGCTTCACTGGTCTGTATATATTAAAATTACAAATTCACATACTCACCGACATTGGGGTTCCATTTCTTCAGAAATGGAACCTTTGCTTATATACCTGAGAAGGCACCAATGACGATGTCTATCGTCATGGTTTGTAAGGGTGAAAAAATAGAAACGACCTTGCTGTCCATTCACAGAGGGAGAGGTAAGTAAACCATGGTGTAATCATTCCTTAAACAAGGCAGTTAAGGAGAATGGAGTAGATCTAGATTCATTAGCATGAAGACACCTCCAAGATGCATGGTTGAGTGAAAAAAGTAAGGTGCAGAATAATACGAAAAGCGTAACATATCAAAGAGCCCCTCCTCCGTGCCTGGGGGGCTCAGTCGGTTAAGCGTCTGACTCTTGATTTTGGTTCAGGTCGTGATCTCACGGTTCCTGGGTTTGAGCCCCGCACTAGGCCCTGCGCTGTCAGTGCAGAGCCTGCTTGAGACTCAATCTCTCCCTCCCTCTTTGTCTCACCCCGGCTTATGCTCTCTCTCTAAAAACTAAACAAATAAACATTAAAAAAATAGTCCCTGCTCAGTAAGTATACGTACATAAGTACACAGCACATAAGAAAATGTCTGGAAGGATGCATTGCAACCCGACGCCAATTTTTGTGATCCTTGGAGGTGATGATCCTTAAGAAGAAGGCTTCGGTTTGAGGATTTAAGGCGGCCAGGAGCTGGGATCGAAATCAAACAAGCTTTCCTTCTTGAACACTAACAGCTTGCGTGCCCAGGGCCGTCGTGTCCTCCATCGCATGTAAGCCCCTGAGGAGAAGCTGCAGGCTCAGAGAAGGCAAACGGCTTACCTGAGGTCACACAGGCTGTAAAGAGCAGAGTGGGGCACAGAGTCAGGTGGGTTTGACATCAAAGCCCACTCTCAGTCCATTTCTCCGCAGTGGAGGGAGATGTGGAGGCCCCGGGGGAGGCAGAGAGGCTGGGGGGGTCGGGTCTGCTCCTCACCTGGTTCCCTGCTGATTTGCAAAATTCCTCCCATTGCTCCGTGACTCTAGAATGGCCCGTGACGGCCCTGCGCAGGGGAGTGGTACCTCCCGGACGGGCGGACATGCCGCTTAGCTGATCTTTGTGATGCCCGGCAGGTCCCTCCCATGACGATGAGCCCACTCCCCACTCTTGTCACCCCACCCCATCCACGGGGAGCTCCGGCCGGGAGGAAGTTCTCTCTGATAGGGCGTTGGGCTCTGCCTCCCGGTGACTTCCCCACAGGCCCCAACTTTGTCATCTGGGTCCCTGAATGCCACCTGCTCCCCCCGCCCCCGCATTGGCATGGCCCTGCTTAGAGTCCCTGGCTGGATCCCCTTCTCCAGACCCCCCCCCCCCCCCCCCCCCCCCCCCGTCCCCACGCCTGGCCGCCACGCCTCCGCTTCCCAGCTCTGTGGTCCCACCTGTTCTGAGCGGTGCGTGGAAGGGAAGTCCTACAGCCCGCGACTCTGTGTCTGGCCTCGCGCAGAGCCGCCTGCCCGCCCGGGGGGGGCCGCCCCCACGACCCCCTAAGGACCGCGTGCTCCCGCGTGAACTCTCCTTTGTGGGCGCCCACTGCCGGGGCCCTAACGCCAGGCCGGGGTTGTACGTGCGGAAGCAGGGTCGCCCTGGAGAGAAGAGGGAAAGGACGGAGGAAATGTGCGTCCTGCTGACCGGTTTTCTCTTCCTCGGT